TTGCTTGGCTTGGGGTTGAGGAATGCAGGGGCCCTGGGAATGATAGCTAAAAGGGAGTATCATTCTCTTATTTATGAGTAGGTAAAAATATTCTAAAATTGTAGTATTTCCAAAGCCATTAGGTTAGCTGCTTTATTACAGTACTGGGGATTGAACCAAAGATCTTGCGTGTGTTAAGCAAACACTGTACCACTGAGCTACAGTCCAAGTTTGCCCACTTTTTAACTTTGACACCTGGTCTTGCCAAGTTGTCCAGGGTGGCCTCCTTGAACTTGCTGTATAGCTTAAGCAGTCTTTGAATTTACAGTGCTTCTGCCTCAGCTCCCAAGTAGCTGGCATTAGAAGCTTTTACCATCAGGCCTAATTTGAATTGTATACTTTGATGTTTTGTTTTGAGACAGGGTCTCACTATGTAGCTCTGTGCCTCCTGAGTGCTGGAATTAAAAGGTGTGTGCCACCATACACCGTTAAAATTTTTTGTTTTGCTTTGGGACAGAATTTCAAGCGGTCTAGGTTGGCCTCAGATTTACTATGTAGCTGGGAATGACCTTAAATTCTTGATCCTGCCTTAGCCTCCAAAGTGCTGGAGTTACAGGCTTGTACCACCATGTTCAGCAAGTTGTACTTTAAGTGGTTGAATGGCATAGTATGGGGACTACCAATAAAGCATTGCTGAAGTGTGGGGGGTGGGATGCTGGGCGTTGGTGGTACACGCCTTTAGTCCCAGTGCTTGGGAGGCAGAGGCAGATGGATCTGCAAGTTCCACGACAGCCTGGGCTACAGAGAAAAACTTTGTCTCAAAAAACAAAATAAGACTAAAAGAACTTAGAGAGTTCTACTGGAAAGAACCCATGAAACGCCTGTGGCTCATCCTTAGACTTGTGGAGCCAGTTGCTTAGTAGAATCGTCAGGGTAATTATGCTTACACCACAAGTTACAAAGGAAATAAGCAATTAATTACATGTGATTAATACATTTGAATGGTAATATAGGCCAGGTTGGCCTCAAAACCATTGTGTTGCCAAGCCTGGCTTTGAATTCACAGCAATCTCACTACAAGCAAACATTTGTCACGATAACCCAGTGAAGGTATAACTCTTAAAGAAATATGTAATGTTTAAATTGAAGGTTTCTAGGGGGTTGGCTTGAGCAAGGTTATGTAGAGGTGAAAATAATGGACCACAGAAGGAATGGTACCAGATTTAGGTGTAGGCAAGCCCTGCAAATAGCTCAGTAAAGTTCCAGGGCAGGGGCTGGAGAGATGGCTCAGAGGTTAGTAGCACTAGCTGCTCTTCCAGATGACCTGGGTTTGATTCCCAGCAACCACATGGTGGCTCATAACTGTCTATAACTCCAGTTCCAAGAGATCTGACACCTTCTACACCAATGCACCTAAAGTAAAGTTTAAAAAAAAAGCTCCTGCCAGGAGGTGGTAGCTCATGCCTTTAATCCTAGCACTTGGGAGGCAGTGGCAGGTGGATCTCTGTGAGTTCGCGATCAGCCTGGTCTACAGAGCTAGTTCTAAGCAGCCTCCAAAGGGACAGAAAAACCCTGTCTTGAAAAAAAAAAAAGCTCCAGGGCAGAGGGAAGCAGTTACAGTAGAAATGAGACTCCAGACTGGAATAGACAAAAGACTATACTGGGGTTTTCTGTAAAGGAAAGAAGCCTGTAGAGGTAGGTTTGAGTTTCGTGGAGAATAGGTCTAAGAAGGACAAAGAGTAGGCTTTGGGCTGTTGAGTTTGAGATGCTTTGGATGTTAAAAAGAAGTATCCAGTCTGAAGTTGGATTCACAAGGGTCTAGGAATAAAGTAAAAACAGCATGACTGACATTAGCCTCAGACTGTAGATGGAAGCCATGTGTTTAAAGACAGTAGAACTCTGGAGTGCTATTTATGGGAGTGCCTGAGGAGGAGGCAATGGTCAGAGAAGTTAGCTAGGAACATAGCTGTACGCTATAGCAAAGCAGCTGCTTACTCAGCTGTTTTAAGTCAGCATTTACTGTTTGTCAGTGTGCCTGGGGTGTTTCTTAAGAGGCAACTGGGCCTTGAATTTTACCATCAAATTTAGACTGATGGCTGTCACTGTAGGCCATTGACAGCCTTATTTTCTAATTGATATATTATGTTTCCTTAAATTTTAGAGGATGAACTGGAGTCTTTCCAATCTCACCTTATATTATCCAGATCCAGAAAAGCCTAGCCCTGTATTCAAGCCAAGAGCTTTCTCCGCCCCCCCCCCTTTGGCTTTTTGAGAGGGTTTCTCTATGTAAACTGCCCTGGCTGCCCTGAAACTCACTTTATAGACCAAGCTGGCCTGGAACTCACAGCGACCCACCTTCCTCTGCTTCCTGAGTGCTGGGATTGAAAGCATGCACCACCACTGCCCTGCTTTTAGGAGTATGAGGTTTTGCTTGCATGTATGTATCTGCCTATAGATGGTTGTAAATCACTATGTGGATGCTGGGAACTGAACCCAAGTCCTCTGCAAGAACACTAAGTGTTCTTAATTGCTGAGCTATCTCTCCAACTCCTTGAAAAGCCTTCTGTCCTTGGGGGATGAGTGGCCTGAATAGTACACTTCTTTTTGAGGGGATGGAAGGAAAGCAGAGAACATCTCATGTGCTGGTATTCAGCAAATTGTACCCACATACCAGGCTCAGAAACGTACAAGGAAGGCACCCGCTCTGCGGGGGAGACAAAGAAGCAGTCCTCTTCCCATGTGCCAGCCCATCTGCTTCTTTGCCTTCACAAACATGCTTTTCTTCTTTTTGGTTCACTGCAGCTTTGAGTACATGAGAAAGAAGAGTGAGAAACAAGAAGAAAGATAAGGTTGGAAGAGGGCAAGAGGCAAGGAGGGGAATGGAAGGAAGCTCCTGCACCACGAACACAATAAATTGTCCTAAACCACCTCAGCCTGGCCCCTTTTCTGCAGCGTGCACGTATCGGTTTCCTGTGTGCAGAGTTCTGAAGGTGATGAACAAGACACGGCTGTGACCTAGGCGGTCTTAAATGATGAGGCCCATCAGCATGTTACAGGCCTTGGAAGCCCATTTCCATTTGCCACACACTTTCCTTGCCCTGATACCTGTGACTCTTGATAATATCACCAATCTCCCAACTGTCTCTAAATCTGAGCCAGAAGAACAAATGTGTCCCTTGCCTTCAGGACAGCAGGGTAGGAAGTAAAAGAGTTCTGGGGCAGCTGTGACCTGTGTATGTCTCCCACCATCTGACAGACCAAGACCTGCTGTTGGGTTAAGAGACCAGCCTGACTTCAGGTTAGGAATTGAGAGGTCAGGTGACTGTCCTGTGATTGATCCATGCTGCTTCAAACCTAGAAGTCTTGAAGGGCAGAGGCCTGATAGCTCTTCCCCTGGCTGTGCTCAAAGTGCTCTGATTCTAGTTCCTATCCACCCTGTCCCTTCTGTTTTGGAGAACAGGGATATTCAGTGACAGCCAGAATTGGCCTCTGACTAGAATAATGACATTTCCCCATCCTGTATTTCTTGCCAGACACTGTCCTATGGTTTGTGCTATGAGGTTGCTCTGGCTCAGTCACTGCCTTCACTTTGCTAAGCCCTGCTCAACCAAGGTTTGGCTTCACTTTCCCCAGCACTCAGAACAGTTCTGCCCTACCAGTGGGCCTGTTCTGTGGCCTCAAGCCTGTAGGGTTCTACTGGTGGTTCTGGCACTGCCTCTGAACTGTGCAGTTATAGGCAGTGGTGTGGTCTGTCACCTGATTGTTTTATCTATTCCATTTTACCCCCAGATGACCAACCAAAAAGTTGAACTGCCCTGTCTTGCCCAGCTATGCCAGTGTGTAAGGGCTGTCTGTCTGTCCGCTCTACCCCACCCCCACCAGACTCTAGTGAACTGCCAGCATCTGCTCGCAGGTGTTTCCTGTTGCCGTTTCTTTTGCTCAGCATGACCTCCCCGGCAGGTGGTGAAGGCCCTGCCAAAAACCTCTTCATACGAGTTCTAAAACACTGGGGTAAGGTTCCCCAGGGATCTGGGTCACCCCCACCACATCTAGGCAGCTGTTGACACCTAATTGGCTCTTCCTGAATGCTCCCTATGACAGTTTTGTGCACAAAGTGTCACACTACTACTGTGCTATCACCACAGGTATTGGGACACCAGAGTGGGCTCAAGCTGGGAGACCTTATGCATGTCCAATCACTCTAGATAATAGAAATTCTGGTAGGAGGATGGAGGATCCATTTCTCTAGCCATGGGGCAAAAAATTCCTCAAGACCTTTTTAGAAAAGGCCTCCCATCCTGAAATCCCACCCCCACCCTCAAGTCCCTCCCAAAGGTCTCCTAACCTAACAAACTCCTGTGCTGGAGTCAAGAAAGCCCTCTCTTGGGAGTTCTACTTCCTCAACACAGATCTGTTTGTTGGCTGTTGGGAGCCACAGAGTTCACAGGTTTGTTATTGCAGGGAAGGAGGTGCCTCAGGAAGGGAAGGACCTTGCTGTCCTGGTTCACACGGCAGCCATCCGGATCTCCTGACTCCCAGGTCCCAGCTCCTCCCTTAAGCAAGGATTCCCACCTCTCCCCACAGCCTCAAGTTTGCTTCTTGAGCTCCATTGTAGAAAGCTGCCCAGTCAGGGGCACGCACAGAAGCTTACCACCCACTGATGCAGTTCTGCTGCCCCCTGGTGGCAACAGCTCAGGCATTCTGCTAGCTTTCCTTTTTCCCCCGAGCCACAGCCAGTTTAGAATAAGCAGTTAGGGCCTTCTCTGGGCCAGCTGCTTAGATCCACTCAGAGACTGTAGTCCCCAGACTCAGCTGCAGGCTCAACCTGTTCAGCAGTGCTCCTTTCCCTTCTGCCTCTTCTCCAAGCACAACCCTGGATTCTGGGCTTTCTTCCACCAGGATTTCCAGGGCAAAAGCACACGATGTTGTCACAGCTGGAGTGTGGGCACAACAGTGCCAGGAAGAGCATACCCAAAGGTGTTGGAGCAGAGGTTCAGAGGTGCAGCAAGCCATGTAGGAAATACATTTTGCTTTTTTATTTTCTGTAAAACTCTGTAAATAAAATATAAAACCAAGGGATATGGTGAGGCAGAGCAAGATACGGCCAGGCCCCTGACACTTGTGGCAAAAGATACGCAGAACCAAGGCTGGGAGGCACTTCGTTTCAGGCACTCTACCAACCCCAGGGGTAACAGAATATATTAGATTTTCATTGATAGAAATTTGTGGGGAGAGGTGTCTGGAACCAGCCCTCACCCTCCCTGCCAGTGCCTGGTGAGCCCTGAAAATGGGGGAAGGAACACTGGGAGCCGGTGATTAGAGAGTTCAGAATGCCGTGCTGGCCATGCTGCTGGGCCCAAAGATGCGAGGCAGAGCATCCAGGGACTCCTCTAGCCGTCGATGAGCAGACTGTCCTTCTTCCCCTATAACGTGTGAGGATAAGGTCAAGAGTGGCCCTGGCATCTTCCAAGCCTTCCCATGCCTGGCATTACTTCACCCTACTCCCAATAGCCAAGGTATTCCCAAATTCCCTCAACTCATGTCTCCCACTTCCCAGCCTTACCACACTGCTGTAGGCTCTGCCGGGCAGCTTCCCTCACAGCTTCTGTGTCTGTTTGGCACAAGTATACCAGGGGCTCAATGCCCTCGGGAGCCTATCAGGGAACAAAACATTGAGGCGGGCTCAGTTTAACAAGCAGGAGTAGCCCTGGAGTGAAAGTGTTAGGAACGTAGGTTGGCAGGGATCACCTTGATACAGCCCAAAGCTAGGCATCCAGCCACTCGAGTCTGCACATCCTCATCCTCAAGTTGGTCCAGGAAGCACAAAAGAGCCTGGGAAAGGGAGGAGGGAAGACTTCAGACACTGGAAACCTTCAACCCTCACCTTACCCACAAGAAAGCCCTGCCAAACTCACCCTTTCCCGGAAGACAGGGCCAAGTGAGAGGCTCCGAAGCTGGGTGCTGACAGCAGCCATGACTTTGTTGTTGCCATGGACCAGCAGGGAGCTAAGAGCCCGAAGTCCATCCCTTCGCAGGCGCCCCTCAGGTGCTAACCTCAGGGCTTTCAGCACAACAGCCTGGTCATCAGAGTTCAGATTCTGTACCAGTAACACTAAAAGAGGCAGGGAGGAGGGCAGGACAAGTTGGCAAAGCTCTTGGGTGAGAGGCTTTGTTCTTGAGATCTCATCACTCATAATATCAGGACCACCCATGGGGTCAGCATTCTGTGGCCAGGGCCACTGCCTTACCTTCCTCTGCAGTCTCTGTCACATAGGCATCCATGGAGGGGCTGTCCAAGGCTTCTACGTAACTCCAGAATTGGAAGATGGTGAACTGCTCCCCAGGGCCTGGCTGGGGCCTCCTAGGCAACTTCCGCCCCAGGGCGTCTTCCAGGAACTTCACACACACTGAAGGAGACAGTACCAGTCTGAGTCGGGAGAGACCCAGGCCTCTAAGGAGGAAGAGAATCTCCCCATTCTAGCTCAGGCCCGGGGCTCCTTGTCCACACAGGACTCTGTGAACAAGCACTCACTAGTTCTCCTCAGTGCTCAACTTGTCAGTCAGTGTGGGTTGACAAGGCCTTCTCTACGGGAGCTGAGGAAGGAAGAAAAGGGCAGGTGGGCAGCCCACTTACCAGCCTCAGCTAAGCCTGGCTGGCGCAGGGAAAGACGGGCTCCGTACTGGCTGCAGAAAGTGAGGAGCACCTGCTCCACGGGGCAGATGAAGGGGCTGAGTCCCTCTGTACACTGGTCCCAAAAGGTCAGGAAGCCAGTCCGAGAGGCAGAGAACTGCACCACTGTGAGGGGTGAGGAAAACCGTCAGCAACAGAGGTGGGGGTGGGGGAGCATGTGAATGGGAGTAGGTGAGGGGCGAACGCCTGGCCTTTACCTTCCTGGGCAGAGGTGGCAGAGTTCCCCCATAGCTTGCTGCGCTCACATACTTCCTCGAGCACACGTGCTTCCCTCAGCAGCCGCTCTAGGGCCCATGCCTCCTGGCAGCGCAGGGGCCCAAATGTGCCCAGTTTCTAGAGGACAGGGGTTGCCAAGTAATTTAGACCTCATGGTAAGGGTTGTGGGGGGTGGAGTCAGGGAGGTACAGGTCTCAGCATGCATTGGGAGGCAAATGTCTAGACTCTGGGGCATTGGTGTGTGGAATTGCGAGGTTTGGAGGGCCAGGATCAGAGTGCAGGGCTCCCTGGGTCAAGGGTTGGGGGGAGTATCCCCTCACCAGCAGGAAGTGGCTGCAGTGGTACAGGTGCTGGACCAAGGTAGCATCCAGGGCTGGACACCCTGTGCTTAGGGACTGGGCATTTGATGAGTCTAATCTGTCCTCTGCCACAGCCTCTGGGCTGCTTGTGGGCCTGAGAGAAAAATGGAATCAAACACCCCGACAACACACATTCCCTTCTGGTCACCAGAGATTATTTTTATTAAGTCCCTCCCACCCAGAATGGAAAGACAATGTGCAGACACAGACAACAGGTAAGTTCACAGAAGACTTCCAGGAGGATGAGGCTGCAACCAGCAATGAGTAACATGGGTCTTTATAGTCAGTTTGCCTTTTCCTACCCCTGCTAAGACCAAAGGGGCTTCCGGGCCTGAGATGGGCGCCAGCAGGATTGCAGGCCGGATGGTCTATACAATGTGGACTGCAAGGGATGCAGGGCTTGGGACTGGAACCTAGTAAGTCTTAAAGGGAGGAGGGGCCGGGTGCAACTCTCAAATCTGAATCTGTGAAGTCTACTCCAGGAATGAGAGCTGAGAGGCCGGGACCTCCGGGAGAGTCGAGACCTTGGAGGGGGCTGACACTGGGGGACACAGCATACATGGGGAGGCACTGAAAGAGCTCCTTCACTGGGTGGGTCCAAGGTGAGGGCAAGGGAAAGATGAGAGGCGGGAGGCTCACAAGCTGATGGGGGCTTGCGGGGGAGGCAGACATTGCAGAGATGAGCAGGGTGGCCACAAGCACTGGGACAGATGGAGTTGGTGACATGGGCATCAAAGATCCACGAGGTACACAAGGAAAAGACACACCTGCACTTGCCGCACGCCCATCCCCATGCATTCCACCTAGCCCCATCTCGCCAGTTCCCAACTTGTCTTTCTGCCAACCCACCTACGCCTCCTCTGCCTCAAGTTGCTGTTCCTCTTCCCCTTCCCCTCTCTGCCCAACCACTTCCCAGTCGTGCCTTGCCTGGCCCTCTCACCTGACCCCAGGACCATCATTGTCTTCGTCTTCGTCATCATTGAGGAAGCTGAAGCTCTCCAGGGCATGCTCCACAGTGATGCTAAGGCTGGAGGCTCTGCTTCTAGTCAGGCCTTGTCTCTGCTGAAATTGTAAAGGGGTCAGAGCTATGCCCACTGGCTGGCAGCTCTCCCTGTGCAGCCTAGCCTAGGCTCCTTACCATGAGCAAACTCTCCAGTCGAGTCACCTCCTGCTCCAGACCCTGTAGCTCAGGGAACTGACCACGATAGTCATCCAGGGCAGCCATTAGGGTCCCCAGAGCCTCTTCAAGCCTTTTGTCCCCAGCTCCTCCAGTTGCTTCGGGGACTGGGGCTTGAGCAGCTGTGGCCAGGCTAAGTTCTGAATGTTGGGGTGCAGGGGCTATGGATGAGGGAGAGAAACTTGGGCGTTTAAGATTTTGTTCTGGGGAATTTGGGGCAGGGCTTGTGGGAACCTCTGAACCAGAACAAGCAAGACTCTGGAAAGAGGTGCAAGATGCTGTGGGGTCTGCTTTAGTGTAGGGAGTGGAGGCTGAGTGACTACAGAGCAGAGAGTTAGTGCCTGGGAGTGTGGGGTCTGCAGAGGAGCTGGAGATTAGAGCAAGGTCTAGAGCAGGGTTGGGGCTTTCCATTGTAGACATGGGGCTCGTAGTGGTCAAGGCTGGGTCCACAGCATTGGTGGTATGACTTGTAGTGGTATGAGTTGGCATCCCAGTTTTTTGAGGAGGGCTAGTGGTACTGTTACTGGGGCTTGGAGTGGCATTGGTAGGGCTTGGAATAGTGCAAGTGGGACTTACAGAGGTATGGGTGGGGCTTGGAGTGGTGTGCATGGGGCTTGGAGTGCTATGTGTCTGGCTTACAATAGTGTGGGTGAGGCTTATAGTGGTATGAGTGGGGCTTGGGGTAGTGGGAGTAGGGCTTGTGGTAGCCTGGACTGGGTCTGTAGCATTGGGGATAGAGCCTGTAGTGGTGAGGGTAGAGGGCACAGGCTTGTGGATAGAATCTATAGTAGTGGAAGTTAGGCTTGGGACACTGTTGATAGGGCTTATAGCACTGTAGGTAGAACTTGCATGTGTGAGGCTTGGTAACTCAGAAGGGTCAGAGTCTGTGGCTTTGTGAACTGAGTCTAACTGTGTAGATGAGGCAGGGTCTGTAAGTGTGGGGGAAGGGCCAGTTGTACTGGGGGTAGGTCTTGTGGCAGAATGGCCAGTGTCTAAGACAGGAGGAACACTACTGAAATGCTCCACATGGGTGGAATCTGGATATGCAAGTGGTCCTGGGGTTAGGCTTTCTGAGCCCACAACTTCCATAGCCTCAGTCAAGGCAGCATCCACGCTGGCCTCACTGATGTGGCTGAGAGTCCGGCTGTAAGGGGCATGCCCATTGACTAGGGCTGGGGACACAGCTGGCTCTTCATCCATGGAGCCAGAAGTGAGCATCTCTGGTCTTCGAGAGGCAACTTGGATGGGCAGGGGCTCCGGCTGTTGCACCAAGGGCTTGGGAGTTGATGTGTGTCGAGCAGTGCCTGAGAGCTGTGGGCTGGATGAGTCATCTGAAGACTCAGATGACAGGGACCATGCTGTCCCATTCTCTAGCTCCTCCTGCCGCCGTAACATGTTCTGAGAGAAAGAGACACTTGAGGGTTATACAAAAAAGTCCCTGGGAGATGGTGAGACCAGGGGCCTGGATTTTGACTCACATAGAAGGCCTGCTCCCGAAGTGAGGGTGTGTCTGGTGGGCTCTGGCTATATGTGGAAAACCGCTTAGTGACAGTGGAAGCTTTGTTGACTGTAGAAGCAGCTGACGGCTGGTCATCCTTGTCAAAGGGACTGTAAAGGGAAAAGGACATTAGCCATGCCACCACCTTCCTTTTGCCCTGTCATAAGCCCTTCATTCTGACCAACCTCCATATGACTTCCAGGCTGAGCTTGATGGTGCCAAGGTCATTGATGTCCACAGCCACAACCTGGGGCAGGGCAGCAAACAGGTCCTTGGTCTCACAGGAGACACTGCCCACAACTACATGGTTAGCCAGGCCCTTCAGTTCTGTCACCTGTAGCCAAGAGTACATGGAGGGGTCATGTGAGTGAGTGTTGGGGCTAATGAGCTCCAGGACATTCAGAAATCTGAGTTTGTACAGATAGTCACAGGGTCATGAGGCCGTGCAGATTGCAGGATGAGAGTTCTAGGGATCACAGGGCCATGGAGGCAATCTGCCTCCATGAGCATCATAGAAGTCTAAGTTTGGAAGGGTCATTGGAATTTTAGGTTCACAGTCTCATGGGAGTTCAATGGAAATCAAATATCCACAAGTTTGAAAGCTCATGAGGTCTTACTATCAAAATCATGAAGTACAGGAATTACATAGATTGTTTTCAAGGCCACATAAAGAGGGTTATGGATATCACAGAGGTCATGAAGTTACATTTACAGGGCCATAGAGCTATAAGGGACCTCAGGAATGAGAGAGCCTTAGGAGAGATGGTTACAAGGAATTCACAGGATAATGTGGTTCATAGGAACAAGCTGTCTTATAGAACTGGTCAGAAAAGTCACCTTGATAGACAGGAACTCTGTGAGTAGAGGGAGAAAGACAGTCTCCTCGCTGTCCCACACCTGCTTCCCGCTGCTCTCTATTCGGCCTCGCAGTTTCCATCGCTGACGGCCATATTTCATGCAGATCTGGGGAAACAGGCAGGGTGAAGCAGCCCTTGGGACTGTGACCCTCCATCCCAGCCTTCTCACGCACAACCTCATACCTCATATTGATCGCCCACACACAGCCTGGCAAAGCCAGCCAGCCCTGGGCACAAAAAGGAGAAGGTGAGCCATGCTGAGCCTTAAGCATACCCACTCCTGCCTTCCTCTGCCCCTACAACTCAGTACCTTTCATCCGGAGATGGAACTCGCCCAGCTGGGCCTCCAGCTCGTTCTCCAGAAGACACATGCTCTGGGAAGGAGGGTAAGGATGTGAGGGAATGAAGAACGTATTCTCTCCTGAGCCCACACCTTGCCTCTGCCACAGCAGTCCTCATGTCTCACCTCTGTGTACTCTCGATGCCCTCTAGTGGCTTCAGCCAGGCTATCTCGTGCCTCTCGACTCCCTGGAGACCCTGTGCTATAGGCACGGACCATGTTGTAGGCACCATCCCGGAGACGCCGCTGGACACAGTATGCTTCATACAGCTCATCGATCTGGGAAGGTAACAGTAGGGGTAGCGAGAGGGAACTGAAACTCGCCACTGGGGCTCCCGTCCACTTTCCCTGTGACAGCCACACCCACTTCCCACTCAGCATGCATGCTGCACAAGTACCTTACTGGCATGGAACTCCAGTCGTCGAAGAAAACGTTCAATGGACTTGACTTGCTAAGGGAGGGTTGAGTCAGAAAGATCCTAAGTCCTAGGACTCTTTCCTCTCCCTCTGAGCCAACCCCCTCCCAACACAATTCTAAATACACTTACCTTGTCCAAGTCATACAGGAAGCCCTACAGGAGATAAGAAGGGGTACTTAGAAAGCATCAGCAGGACCCCAGGAAAGTACCTGCCCATCCAGCTATTCCTCAGTAATCAAAAGAGTTTCCTCCTTTGACAACCATCTTCCCAGTATGAACCCTGGCCCTCTCCTGTGCCTTTGCAATATAATCTCTTGCTGTCATGAGTGAAGCCTGCACTCTCCCACTGGAAGCTTTTGTGAGTAAGGCACTAGGTTTCGGGGAGAAAGTGCACTCCAAGAAGTTGGAAGAGAATCACCTACCAGCTCACCTTAGAACACAGCTCAGTATCATACAAGGTTGCTTTGCCCAGACCCTACACTATACAGGCAAGAGGCTTTGGTTCAGGGCATTCCTATCATTTACTCACTAGGCGGGAATTCCTCTTGGATTCTTTTATCTGGCGCTGGAGCTTCTCCTGCTCCTGTTGATGCACTTCCAAGTAGGCCCTAGGGGAAAGGCAAGTGACAAGGGTCAACTTATCCAGCCCCAAGCTGATACGGTGCTGGCAGTGGGGAAAAGGGTGCATGGCTGGGAAGATTCAAACTTGCACAGAGAAACCTAGGTGGAATCCTGGGATATTGCACAAGGAGGGGGTTGCTTACGTCAGTCCCCGCTTAAGGGCAGCATACACCAGGTCCAGCCGCTCTGGCTGTGGCACCTTGGGGGCTGGGTGAGCTACGGAAAACATCCTCGACACTCGGGAGAGCACTAGGGGCTTCCGTGGGGGCCCTGGTGGGCTGAAGACCGTGAAGTTCCTGAAGAAGAGACTACCTTTAGAAGGAGGTCAGCAAGAATCCCCCAAACCCTCACTACACACCCAGTCCCAACCCCATCTAACGCTCTCACCCCCATTAAACCTTTTGTCGCGTACCTGGGCCCGCGCTCGTGGCTGCCGAGGACGCCTGCGAAGGACTGGCTCCTACTGACCCGGGCGCTGAGCAGGCGGCGCTGCGGCCGCACCGACAGGGACATCATGGAATGAGTCCGCGCGGGGCTCCCTGGGGGTGGCGGGGGTGTGTGTCTAGCACCAATCGGGTCCCTGAAGAAGCCCCCTTCCCGTGGCCGGGTCCCAGGGCTGGAGCAGGCCCTCCCTGGTCTCCAGGTACAGCGGCCCCAATGGGCTCTAGCCTTGGCAGTCTTAGCCTCATTGGCCCCCTCGCTAATGACAGGGCAGTGGCAGGCGACTCGGCCTCGGACTCAGCGTGGCCTCTGCTCTGCCCCTACTTCCTGCGGAGGTAAGGGCTCCGCCTGTCGCGGGGCAGGAAGGGGGGGTCGCGCGGGGACCCTCCTCCAGCTGGGAAGAGGCAGGAAAGAGGCGGGGCGCGCGAAGAATGTGCGGAAGCGCCTGTTTACCCGGGGGCGGGGCGGCATCCCAGCCCTTCCCCTGACGGCCCCCCCTAAGTGGCCGAAAGCTCGGGTGCCACCACCCCGGGAGGCCGTGGAAGGTCATGGGGCGGGGCGCGAGTTAGGCTCTCAGCAGAGCTGGGAGACAGGCCTGGCCAGAGCAGGTTTGTAATCCACTCCTGTAACCCACCGCCCAGTGTAAAAATGTGACCCCAGCTCACACCGACTCACAGACGCCCAGACGCCACCGATCTCCCGGCAGGGCGCCCGCCCGGGGATTCCCAGAGTGGGGGGCAGTGCCGAGAGAAGAGCCCCGCCTCCTCCTCTCTATAGACCCTTCTTGGAAACTGAGTCAAGGACGCACGCTTCCCCTGACGTGGGAGGGAAGAAGTTCGGGGCCGAACCCCCATCCCAACCTACCCCAACGAAACACGCACCCTAGGCCCCCAGAATTCCTTGTGGGCATCTCTTGTGGCCATCTCTGGAGCCCTCGCAGCTCCAAGCCGAGTCCTACCTCTCTTCTTGGAGTTCATGGTCGGTTCCGGACGGTCCCGACCGGTGCTCACCCACTGTGTCCCGCTGGCCTGGGGCTTTTGGTACTGGCCCTGTTGGGCTCCAAGCTCACTGCCGGCGGCTCTGGCCCCGGTTTCGGCTGCTCTCAGCGCCTCCCGCCCGCCCAGTTCCTGCCTCCTGACTCAACCCGCCGGGATGGGGCGGGACTGATTCCCCGGACTAGAGGGGGCACCCGACCTCGGTCTGCCTCGCCTCTACAAGCGGTGACTAGGGGCTTTCCTCCGAAGTAGGTTGTTGGCACAGGGTTTGCCTGTGAAGGGAGTTGAACACCAGAATGGAGACTAGTGGCACAGAGATAGAAAGGTGTGCCAAGAGTGATGGTTAAGAGAACCCAGGAACAATTTCCAGCAGCTCACACTGTAATTCCAGTTCCAGGGGATCCGACACCTTCACACAGATATATACATGCAGGCAAATCACCAACACATGTGAAATAAAAGTAAAATTTAAAAAAGAAAGAAAGGTGTTCAAAAGTGATTGTCATGCTGCTGAGAAAAGATTCACCATAAAAAGGGCTAGGAATTAGGGTTCTGTGGGTGTTGAAGCGGGTGGGGGGTGAATGCAGGGATTGTGCCAGTGAAGGACACTGAATAATAAGTACTCTGATGAAACTTAGAGGAGAGAGGAGCTGAATGGTGGGGCTTGACCAACCACATATTATGTGCTTCTCCAAGACCTGAGAAGAAGCTGGCCCTGCATCATCTTTATATCCACAAAGGGGTTGCTCAGTCTGGGTGTTGCCCTTCTCTTGGACCTGGGGAAAACCATCAGGTCCTATTACCCAGCCAGGGCTTCCCCCTATAGTGGAAGCTAGGACCGAGAAGTTATCCTTCTACCCTTGACTCTCTCCTCAAGTCCTGAATTCCCTTTACTGGCTTCCTTGATCCCAGCATCTCTTACTTGAATATTCCTTGTCCACATCCAGCATGAACTATGCATTCCTGTGGACGGCCCACCTAATACACACCTTTATGCATCTTTCAGCTCCCATGCCCAACACCCTAGCCTTATCATCTGCTCTGGAATGCCCTTTTCCTAAACCACAACCTCACTGTCGATAATCGATAATTATCAGTTTCTCTCCATCACCACTGCCACATCTGCTTGTTACCTGAGACCTCCGGTTCCCTGAACACAACTCAGTGCCAGTCACTGGAGATAGAACCCGGAATTTCATAGACACCGCTATATACAGAGATCACAGTCGGCCTCTGCTTGCTTTCTCTTCCAGCTCCTTCCCACCTTCCTTCCCTTTCCTTCTCTGCACGCCCTCTCCACAGCCACCCTCCATCACCTGCCTGCTGGTAGTATCTTTAGCACCCTGCGCTCCGTCTTGCCTGTCAGAACCGACCCTGGCAGACCAACCCCCTTGTCCTTGCAGCTCCTACACTCATCCTGGATTAAGCTGGGAGGTCTTGGCACAGCAGCTGCAATCACAGTGCAGTTCTTAACCTCACATGGTTCTCGCTTCCTACCTGGGAAATTACCATTTACAGCGCTACTCTTTCTCCCTTCTCAGAGAAGATGGATGTCTCAGACTTAACAGTAAATTCAAGGCACTCTCACACTAAAAGTAAAAATAAACCTGAAAACTATACAAATGCCCATCCATAATAACAGAATGTGAAAAAAACAATGAAAAATAGACAAATACAATCAGTAATATGAGTGAATCTTGCAGGTATATCAACTACTGGCAGACAGAAAACACAAGTAAGGAGATATGTATGGTTCCCTTGATAATGAAGTTCAAAAACAGGGAGAAAGTACACAAACATGGTGGTGCATCCCTATTATGTCATCATTCAGGAGGCAGAGGCAGGAGGATCACAAGTTCATGGCTAGCTTAGGCTACATGATACCTTGTCTCAAAAAAACAAAAACAAAACCAGAACAAAAAGCACACAAAACCAATTTATGATGTAATTGTCCTGGTTGGGTTTTGCAAACAACACAAATCTAGACATCTGGGAAGAGGAAATCGTAATTGAGAAAATGTCTCCATCAAACTGGACTGTAGGCAAGGAGTATTTTCTTTTTCTCTCTTCCTTTTTCTTTTTCTTTTCTTTCTTTGACGCTGGGTGGTGGTGGCGCACGCCTTTAATCCCCAGCACTCCGGAGGCAGAGGCAGGCGGATCCTTGTGAGTTTGAGACCAGCCTGGTCTATAAGAGCGAGTTCCAGGATAGCCTCCAAAGCCACAGAGAAACCCTGTCTCAAAAAAAAAAAAAAAAAAAAAAGAAAAGAAAAGAAAAAAGAAGCAACCTTGAGTGAGCCATGGCAGCAAGCCAGTAAGCAGCATTCTTCTATGGCTTAGGTTTCAGTTCCTGCCTCCAGGTTGTTGCCCTGCTTGAGTTCCTGTCCTGACTTCCCTCAGTGATGAACTGTTACCTGGAAGTATAAAATGAAATAAACCATTTCCTCCCCAAGTTGCTTTTGGTCATGGTATTTTACTACAATAATGAAACTCTAATTCAGACAGTAGTTATCCTTAGGCTGTAACTGGAAGTAGGCAAAAGGAGTCTTCTGAAGTATTAGCAATGTTCTATTTCCTGCTGTGGGTTCTATTTCCTGATCATATATAGGTGTGCTCTAAAAAGTATCACGATGTACATTTAGGACAGATATCTGTGTGTGTGTGTGTGTGTGTAGGAGTGGTGGGATCTTAGCTATATTCCCCAAGTTAGCTTCAAAACTCTTAGGCTTGAAGGGCAGTGGTGGCGCAAGCCTTTAATCCCAGTACTCAGGAGGCAGAGGCAGACAGATCTCTGTGAGTTCAAGGCCAGCCTAGTCTACAAAGAAGATGCCAAGACAGCCAGGATCATTACACAGAGAAGCCCTATCTCAGAAAAAAAACACACACACTAGATAGATAAGATAGATAGATAGATAGATAGATAGATAGATAGATAGATAGATAGATGGATAGATTGATTGATAGATTTACATCCCGATGTGTCTTGTGCCTTGCTTTAGTTACCCCATTGCTCTTCTCCTTTCTGAGTCAGGTTTCTGGAAGAATGGTCTACTTCCACATCCTTGCCACACCCACCTACTCCTCTCTCTTCCCATGTTGGCTGGCTTTTTGCACCCACCCATTCTTGACAAGGTCAACAATGACCTCTCTGTTGCTGAATCAACCCAGGATCTAATGTCTAGTCCTTCTCCTGCTTGATCTTTCAGTATTAGATTTCGTGGTTCCCTTCCTCTTCATTAAGCCCTACCTTCCCATGAATTTCAAGAAGCAAAGGGAACCAGACTGTGGTGGCACACACCTTTAATCCCTACAGAAACAGGCAGATCTCTGTGAGTTCGAGACCAGTTTGGTTACAAGAGCGAGTTCCAGGACAGCATCCAAAGCCACAGAGGAACCCTGTCTCAAAAAAACCAAAAACAAACAAAAAACCAAACTAAGCCAGGCGGTGGTGGCGCATGCCTTTAATCCCAGCACTCGGGAGGCAGAGGCAGGTGGATCTCTGTGAGTTCCAGGCCAGCCTGGTCTACAGAGCGAGTTCCAGGACAGCCTCCAAAACAATATAGAGAAACCCTGTTTCCAAAAACCAAGAAAAAAAACTAAAACAAAACAACAAAATCAAGAAGCAATGGGGCTGGAGAGATGGCTCAGTGGTTAAGAGCACTGACTGTTCCTCCAGAGGTCCTGAGTTCAATTCCCAGCACCCACATGACTCACAACTGTCTGTTACTCCAGGATCCAACACCCTCAAACAGACCTATGTAGGCAAAACACCAATGTGCACAAAATAAAAATAAATTTAAAAAAACAGAAGCAACATACTTCTGTTTTTCTACCTACTTCTTATCACACCCACAGAGGACTTGTTTCTCTCTTTATCCCCAAATGGACAATGTTGTCTCAGCTCTTGGACTATGTACTTCTCTGCATCCTTATCTGTCTACAACCAAACCACTTTTGTAAGCATCAGACCTGCTTATCCAACTGCCTCCCAGATGGCTCCACACAAGCTAACTGACAATGTGTAGTGGGCTGCAAAGGGAGATGAACTGGGCTTGAGGTCATTGGACTAGACAGACCACTTCTCCAAGTTTTAACCATCCCATAACAGTCCTATTATCTATTTGCCCAGTTGTTCAAAACAGAAACTGGGAGTCATCCTTAGTCCTGCTGTGAGTTATACCCCACCTCCACTCAGTCACCCACTCTTGGCTGATCAAGCTTTTAGACATCTCTGGATCCAGTCCGGGTGGTACAAGTTTATAATCCCATCAACCTGGGAGGCTGAGGCAGAAGGATCAAAAATTCAAGCCCACCTGAACTACAAAGTGAGCTCAAGGCCAGCCTAGCTAACTTACTAAGATCAGATCACAAAATATATTTAAAGTCTGGGGGTACAGCTCAGAGGCAAAGTGCTTCATCAGCTTGCTTAAAATCCTAGTTTAAACCAGGCAATGGTGGCGCACGCCTTTAATCCCAGCACTCAGGAGGCAGAGGCAGGCGGATTTCTGTGAGTTCGAGTCCAGCCTGGTCTACAGAGAGAATTCCAGGACAGCCTCCAAAGCTACACAGAGAAACACTGTCTCGAAAAACAAACAACAACAACAACAACAAAATCCTAGTTCAATGCCCAGTATACATACATACAATACATTCACACGTATAGAGTGTGTCTCTAGAATCTGCACCCTCAAATCAGGTCCAAGCTATTACCAACTCTATCTTAGGATCCTAGTAGGCTCCCTGTCTCCCTTTATCCTGCAGTCAACCATTCTTTATTGACTAACAAGTCTTTTGAAAATTCCAGTCACCAATGCCCAAAACAACAACAAAGAACCCTGTTCCTTTTTGAGTGTTTACCTATGTAGCTATTATTAGTCCTGCTTCACAGCTGAGGTCAATTGGCTGTATGTGACCTTGGGTGACATACTTTTTGTTTCATGACACAGATTTTCTCTGTATAGCTCTGGCTATCCTGGAATGTGCTCTGTAGACCAGGCTGGCCTCAAACTCACTTCTTAAGCTTTTGGATTTCAGATACTCATGAGAATAAAAATCACAACCACTGCTGGAAGCATGAAGTGAGATATCTCCATTTACAGGGAGTGTTTAGGGGAGGGAGAAATACATGTAGTACACAAATATTAGCTGCTATTATTAATTTACCCAAGATTACACAGCGAGTAAGTGCCAGGCCCAGATTCAAGCCTAGGTTTTCTGATCTGAGACTAAATCTCTAAAGTCTCTCTATTCAGATTCTTAGGAAAAATTCACAGCTACCTCCTGCCCCTAAAAATAAAGCCTGTGCTTCTTTCCCAGGCCCCTGTCCTCTCTAGCAACTGTGACCCCTCCTGCCACACTCAAGGTTCTTAGCATCTGGACAGCAAACTCCATCCCTCCCATACTCCTTTCTCTCTATCTCTCTCTCTGTGTGTGTGTGTGTGTGTGTGTGTGTTGCTAGGTTCAAGCTTAGTATATTAGGCAAGCACTCTTCTGTTGAGGTACACTGCCAGCCCCCTCTTTTCACTACTCTTAGCCTAACTAACCCCCTCTCCTTTTTCTTCTGCCTCCCTAACTTCTTCCAGGAAGCCTGCTCTGGGTTGGTTCCCCCTTTGTGGCGCCTCTATAGCTTCCTCTCTCTGATTCTCAAGGCCACATAGCTAAGTTGTAGTTCTCCAGGGTCTATCTTCCCACCAGTCTACACCCTCTGGGTCCTGGGGCCTACTTGCCTGCCCACTACGTAATTTCCTGGGCCCTCCACCAGCACCTGAGCATCTGGGAGATGAAGGAAGAACGGGCCGAGTGTGAAAGCAGGGTTGCCCAGTCTTTGGAACAGGATCTTGACCTGGTAGAAGGGGTAGATCATAGGACACAAGTCTGGGTCTACCCTGACTCCCCTGCCCAACCCAAGACTCTTCACTTCTCACACCATATGCATGGAGCAGGAGCTGCTTCCTGGGACTGGGACAGGGTGGAGGGGTCCTAGCATTTCCGATTCAGAGTATAGTGGCTGTTCCATCCATTGTCTTCCCTGGCAGCAGCTCTGCTGCCACTATAACCCTATACTCAGGAACTGTTTGTAACACTAACCCATACCTCTCCTTGATGTTAAATGCCATGGAGAATGTATAAAGGACCATTTCTGGGGGAGGCAGTCTCTCTCCTGTTGGGGGTAGATGGAAAGGGCTGATACCCCACTCCCACTCCCAGCTAATAGTGAGGAACTGTCTCAACTGTGGGTGCTGGCTGCTAAGAGACAGGAGCCTTTGCTCCTGTCAACTCTGCAGTGTTCTGGGCATGGACAAGAATCCAGGTTCTAAAGGTTATGAGGTGTGTAGCTCAACAGTGAAGAATCTTTTTATTTTTGTTTTGTTTTTTTTTGTTTGTTTTTTGTTTTTTTTTTTTTGGTTTTTTTTTTTTTTTTTTTTGGTTTTTCGAGACAGGGTTTCTCTGTATTGTTTTAGAGGCTGTCCTGGAACTCACTCTGTAGACCAGGCTGGCCTCGAACTCACAGAGATCCGCCTGCCTCTGCCTCCCGAGTGCTGGGATTAAAGGCGTGCACCACCAACGCCCGGCTTTTTGTTTTGTTTTGTTTTTGTTTTTGTTTTTCGAGACAGGGTTTCTCGGTATAGCTTTGGAGCCTGTCCTGGAACTCGCTCTGTAGACCAGGCTGGCCTCGAACTCACCACCTGTCTCTGCCTCCCGAGTGCTAAGATTGAAGGCATGCGCCTCCAACGCCCGTCTGTGAATGGAATCTTAACTGCCAGCACTAACCCAGTTTTCATAGACCCCCAATAGCTCATGTGTGCCGAGACTAATACACCTGTGTGACACGGAAAGTACGACTGACGGTGCTGTCTGTCCATCTAGTGCAGTGGTCGGTCACGTTAGCCACAGCCTCTCCGAGTCTCTGGGTCCAGCCCGGCTCAGCTGTAGGGCTACACATTAGACTGAGGTAAACAGAAGCTATAAATAACCCAGGCAAAAGGGTGGCTGCGAGGGAGAAGGGGGTCGCGAGCAGAAGCCTGTCCCTGTCTCCATGGCAACTGCCCCAAA